ACACCCATTATAGAGTGTTGGTACTACTATACTTTCATTACATTCTTCTTTGCCTCCATAGATATCGTTTTTTTGACTCCACATATACCTCAACGCCACCACTCACCTTTTTGCCCTATTCATTTCTATGATTATCTCATCTTCATTAATCCATCCGCCGGACACGTCAACTCCCAAGTATTGAAAACATTCATTCTTCCTTACTCCTCCTCCCCATTTGATATCCAATTTTTCTTTATCTAAATCATTTTGACAACCCTCATCAACCTTACTCTTTCTATGTTCACTTTCAACTTTCTACCTTTACACACATTCCCAAACTATCCATCTAACCTTTGCAATTTTTCTTTAGAATTCTCCCATAAGCCAGATCTTCAGCTGAAAAGTAACTGTGTCCAATTCCAATTGTGAATTTGATTCCCCAAAATTTTATCACACCCCTTCTCCCGAATACCTAGCAATTTATTCCTTTTACAACCCATCATAATAATATATTAACAACCATGGTGACATTACACATCCCTGTCTAAGACCTACTTTTACGGGAAGTAGTCTCCCTCTCTTCTACACACACCTTAACCTGAGCCTCACTATTCCTCATAAAATACTCTTTACAGCATTTAATAACTTACCACCTATCCATAATACTTGCAACATCTGCCACATTGCTCCTCTATCCACCTATCATATGCTTTTTTAAATCCATAAATGCATAAAAACTTCCCTACTATTATCTAAATACTGTTCACATATATGCTTCAATGTAAACCACTTGATCTACACATCCCCTACCCACTCTGAAACCTCCTTGCTCATCCGCAATCCTACTTTCTGTCTTAACCTCTAATTCTTTTCAATTATAACCCTACCGTACACTTTTCCTGGTATACCTCAGTAAGCTTATTCCTCTATAATTTTACAGTTCTTTTGTCCCCTTCCCTTTATATAAAGGGACTATACTGCTCTCCGCCCAATCCCTAGGTACCTTCCCCTCTTCATACATTTATTAAACAAAAGTACCGACCACTCCAACTATATCCCCCCTGCTTTTAACATTATCGTCATGATCCCATCAGTTCAGCTGCTTTACACCCCCTTTCATTTTACCGTAATGCCTCACGTCCTCCCCCACTCACTTACATTTGCTCTTCTTCACTCCTAAAGTGGTATACCCTCCCTGGGACAGTGCATGGAATTACTGCTTCAGTTTATTTATACTTCTGACCATCGTCTATTACATGTACTAAAGTTCCTCAAAATATTCTCGCCATTACCCAATACCTCCATCTCCCATCTACCTAACTCCCTTACTCTGTTTTTAACTGACAAATCCATATTTTCCCTAAAGGCTTTCTTAACTTGTTTAAACTCACTCTAATATTTTTTCTTATTTTCATTAAAATTTATTGGACAGTGCCTCTCCCTCTCTATCATCTGCTCTCCTTTTGCCACTCTCTCACCACTCTCTTTACATTTCTTTTACTCTCCATATACTCTGCTCTTCTTATAACACCTTACTGCTTTGTAAAAACCTCTCAATTAAGTACCTTTTTCTCTTTTATCAACCCTTTACTTCATCATTCCACTAATCACTCCTCTTTCCTCCTGCTCCCACCCTCCTTATCAACCACAAACTTCTGCCCACATTCTATAGGCATTTTTAAAACTATTCCAAACCCTCTTCAAACCCCCCCACTGCTCATCTTTGCACTTCTGCCCACCTTTCTGCCAATAGTCGCTTATATCACCCGAACTTCCACTTCACCTCCCTCTTACTTGTTGTTGCACCTTCCTCTTTTCCATTACCTCTTACTCTAACGGTAGCTAACAACTAAATAATGATTCCGGTATATCAGTTGCCCCTCTATAAAACATTGTACATCCTGGAGCCTACCCATCAAACCTTTTATCCACTCAATACATAATTAGATAAACTACTTTCATTACGTGCTACATCATACCTTGTATATTTATTTATCCTCTTTTTCATAAAATATGTATTACTTATTACCAATTTCTTTCTACACATAGCTCAATTAAAGGCTCCCCATTTACATTTACCCCTGGCACCCCAAATTTACCTACTACTCCCTCCATAACATTTTTACCCACTTTAGCATTGAAATCCCCAACCACCATTACTCTCACACTTGATTCAAAACTCCCCACACATTCACT